GGAGGCGGAGCTTGCAGTAAGCCAAGATCCTGCCACTGCACTCCAGCCTGGGTGACAGAGTGAGACTCCATCTCAAAAAAAAAAAAAAAAAAAAATTAATTCTTAGACCAGCCACAGAACCTAGAAATGAAGAAAGAAGCAATTTTTCCTCCCGTACAAAAGAAAGGTATAAAGATTGGACAAGAAGAAGTATATTTATTTGTAAATAACATGACTACAAACTTAGAAAATATAAAATAAACCACAATTAGAATTAATAAATATATTCAACAAAGTCATAGGCTACAATGTCAATATACAAGCATCAATAATATTACCATATATCAATAAAAAAATTTATTTTTGAGATGGAGTTTTGCTCTTGTCACCCAGGCTGGAGTGCAATGGCACAATCTCAGCTCACTGCAACCTCCGCTCCCCAAGTTCAAGCAATTCTCCTGCCTCAGCCTCCCAAGTAGCTGGGATTACAGGCGCCCACCACCATGCCCGGCTAATTTTTGTATTTTAGTAGAGACGGGATTCCGCCATGTTGGCCAGGCTGGTCTCAAACTCCTGACTTCAGGTGATCCAGCTGCCTTGGCCTCCCAAAGTGCTGGGATTACAGGCGTGAGCCACCGCGCCTGGCCTCAAAAAATTTTTTAAATGAAAAAAATTTTAATACCATGTATAATATCAAACATATAAATATCTAGGAAGAAAATATAATACCTAAAAAAAAAAAAAAAACTAAGGAAAAAAGTGCCCAATCCCTATGCTAAACATTGCAAAACATTTCTGAGAGAAATGAAAGACCTAAATGAATGGAGATATTCAAACACAAAGGAGGAAAAATAAAAAGATCTACGTGGTGGTAAGGTTTCTACATTCCACTCGACATGACAAAATACTAATTCTAATTAGACTGGGGAATGTTAAGTATGTACATTGTAATCCCTAGAGCAACCACTAAAACACACATACAAAGAGATATAACTAAAAACTCTAGAGTTCAATTCAGATGGAATACTAAAAATGTTCAAATAATCTAAACCATGGCAGGAAAGAGATAATAAAGAAATAAAGACTAGAGGGAATAAACACAAAATAAATAAAAGAAAAATCTGAAAAGGAAAAATCTGAATCCAAACCTATCAGTAACTACATTCGATGTAAATACTATAAACCAGGAGTCAGTAAAGTCCAGATAGTAAATATTTTTGAACTTGTCAGTCATATGGTCTCTGTTGCAACCACCAAACTCTGCTTTTGTAGCAGAAAAGTAGCCACAGAAAATACATAGACCAGCCAGGCGCGGTGTCCGTAATCCCAGCACTTTGGGAGGCTGAGGCAGGGGTATCACTTGAGGTCAGTAGTTCACAACAAGCCTGGTCAACATGGTGAAACCTCATCTCTACTAAAAATACAAAAATTAGCCAGGCACGGTGGTGGGCACCTGTAATCCCAGCTACTTAGGAGGCTGAGGCAGGAGAATCACTTGAACCCAGGATGGGGAGGCTGTAGTGAGCCCAGATTGAGCCACTGCACTCCAGCCTGGGCAACAGAGTGAGACTCCATCTCAAAAACAACAAAAAAAGAAAATACATAAATGAGCATGGCTGTGTTTTAATAAAACTTTATTTACAAAACAGGCAGCAGGCCAGATTTGACCTACATAGTTTGCTGACCCCTGATCTAAACACACCAATTTAAAGAGATTTTCAGAATGAATTAAAAAAAAAAAAAAAGTACCAAATTATATGCAGTCTACAAAACAAAACAACATACACACAATCCACCTTAAATATAATTATATACAAGGAGCTTAAAAATAAAAGGATGGAGGACAGGCACGGTGGCTCACACCTGTAATCCCAGTACTTTGGGAGGCCGAGGCGGGCAGATCACGAGGTCAGGAGATGGAGACCATCCTGGCCAACATGGTGAAACCCCGTCTCTACTAAAAATACAAAAAATTAGC